TACAAAATATAAAGACTCATCTTACTCCTCAACAAAAAACATTTTTCCCCACACTCCATTTATCTAATAAAAATCAAATATATTTTTAATCGGGTGTTAATTAGAAATTCGAATGTCACGACAAATATTTATATTTTATCGATATGATTCGAAGCTCGATAATCTCGCAGTTATTTTTTATCTATAAACTTTTCATCGAATCATTATATACTTGGAATGTTTGTCAGATTAATCTATTTTTAAAATAAGTGAAAGCTTTTCTATTTTCATTCTTTTACCCGACAAAACGATGGAAGCCTTTTTCATTTTATTATTATAAATTACAAATGATATTTAGCTTAACTTTCTATTTTTATTTAACATATATAACAACATTCTTAACATCTAAAATATATTTGCGTATTTAGTCAGTTTTACTTGCTTTTCATACTCGTATGCCTGGTCGAAAACTTTCAGCTACCTGTTACACAAACAATAATCTTCCGTTACACGTAACGTATGCACATGTGCACAACACATAGGTTATATGTGCATACACGAATTTTGCAAACAACTTCAACTTCGTAGGCGTGCACATCTGCGCTATTCGTATCGAAAGGATTAAATTCTCCTAAAGCTAATATTCAGCCTGTTCAACAAGTTTCATTCGCTGGTTCAGTTCGTTTGCAGTCAGAAGCGTAGATGTGCGTTTCATACGAGTACGTGCGATTCTTCGCTACGAGTCGATTAAATTTCGCGTCTAGTGTCCAACTAATGGAACCGCGTGTTTCCCCGAAAACAATATTTGAACGTGATCGATAGACGAATTCTACTATGAAACGAAACCCGTGGAAATGAACCGAAACTCTCTAGCTGGTGCACTCGAAACTTTAGCCGATTGATTCGCAACAGATAACCGGAAGAGGAATAGAGACATTGGGAAAGGAGTGGAGGCGAAACACAAAGCAAACCTAACTACGTGCTCTTTGAGGGCTTACGACGAATAATCATGAACTAGGTAGTTTGCCGAGTATTTTTATAAATACCATGCTAATACTGCTTTCTCTTCGAGAGATCAACAGCACGGACATGAGTAACAATCGTAGCCTTTAATTTGCATATACGAGCCAAGTGTTTCCTGGTTTTACACTGATCCTTGAATTCACGATGAACCATAGGTCGACGTTAATTGTAAGCGATATAGTAGAAATGATATAGCGAATCCGATGGTACAAGATGTATCAAAATCAAGCTTGAAGGCAGAGAATCCTCGAACAGATTACGATAAGTATACATGGTTGCCTTATTAGATAATTTGAATGGAATTAATGAACATTTCACGTGCGAGTCTATATAGAGTGTTTCATAGACCTGAGATCAGCGATATCTCTGAAGGGATAGAAGATAGGAACAAATTTAATTGGGAAACATTAATATGACATGAAATAGTGTCCGATTTGGTGTGTGTCACGTAATGCTCGTCGGAAAGCGAAAATTTTTTGACGTTTTTAAAACCATTTCTACTTTTTATTTTTATTTTTTATAACAAAAATTTGCATTCTATATCTCTATAAATTATTCGAAATTTCTATAAATTTATATTTTGTCCCTTTATTTTCAATTAATAGAACTATTAAAGAATTTAGATTGAAAATTGGTTAAATTAGAAGATACTTTATCTTTCATTCTTTCTATTTTTGTCAGTATTATATCTAAACTTACGTACATGGAAGTGCTTCTTAAGATTATTTTACAGTGTTGCTATGTATTTGTATTTATTTCTTCTTTTGTTCAACATTTAAAACCTATAGAGGTTTATATAGTTACACATTTACAGACATGCAGTGATTTATAATTGTATTTACATAGGAGTACAACACGTTTAGAGATTTATCCATTTATTGGAATATTCTTTGTTTAAATAACCTGATGCAATTATTGAACTGTATCCTGTTTAGAACTTATTTATCTCCTATTAACCATATAAGGATAGCATGTATGCATGTATTATAAATGTTCAAATGCATTAAATTATCTAAGCTAATGAATTTTCAGAAAAGTGCATGTAGTTGTACATAAAACATGCATGATCCTATTCAAAAGACAGGTAAACTTGGAACTTTTTGAATGTCTCCACTTTTAATATAGACAATATATGTATACAACAGATCATGTACCATTCAACCATATTTTATTACGTATATCCAATGAAATGTTCTATCCTTTATTGTTTCGAAGCTATGATTATGCCTAATTGTGTGAAACTTTATATGGTAAAGTCATAGTATTTGGTTAACCCAATAATCATATAGAGAAACGTTTTTATAGTCAAATATTATGGTCACTGGAAATATTGATTCAAACTTATTCCACAATTCAATTATAGTCGCAATTATAAGTGTACTCACAAAACTATTATGATGCGGCAAATAATTATAGCAGTTATTATATTGGTATTAAAGTTATGTTGCACCGCGTGGATGTGGATGAGCTCCACGCGGAGGGGACAGCGTATGGTATACTTATGATGCCCCCTTTTCTCAGTGTGCCGAATCCCTTACGAGACACTGAGCACCTAGGTGGTAATAAAGCGCAGATTGTGGTTCTAATTACGCTTTATTCTACGATTATGATGTGGGTGTGTGTGATTGGTGTGTGTGTGGTGTATCGTCTTCTCCCTTGCCGTTTTTAGTTTCGTTTTCCGTCTTCCGTTTTCCATCTTTCGTCTTCCAGTTCTAGTTCACGTTTGTCGCGTCTTGTCTGAGCTCCAAAACCGTCTTACGTCATCTGATGTGTTTTGTTTGATTTCTCACGATCGTCTGATGTTTCGTTTTATAATTTTTTGATCGCCAAGGTGGACGGCGAGGCGCGTCTTTCACGTATTAATGTCGTCGCAACAAGTTATATGTTTAATTCTAAACAAATTTTTCTGTTTGTTTATTTGGATTTGTTAGAATAGACTTGATTCTTCTTGTTTGTTGATTCTTCTTATTTGTTGATTCTTCCTGTTTTTTAGAGGAAATGATTATATAAGCAATTAAGTTAGTTGGAACCGTGATACGAAGATTTTCCAAATTAATACAAGATAAAATAAAAATTATATGATCCGTAATGTCGTATCAAAATAAACAGAAAAAAGGAAATATATGTAGCACTGCATTATGACTGTTAATCTCACTTGATAATACGACTTACGTAACGAATGACTAGCAGATTACGGAGGCCTATTTTATAAAATCGCATTAAGACATTGTAACACTAGACGTACATATATTATATTTTCAAACTAATGTAATTTTCAAACCGATTTTTTTATCCGTTTCTTCCGCTTATTAACATTATGCTTCAAAGTCGTTTTATCGCTAGCAAACGTTACTATATTTTGCTCATTCAAAAAGATATAATTCCGTTTCTTTTAAAAAGACATTATCATCTCCATAGTATGACATATGCAATAAGTCGGATATAGTAAGACCTATACAATAAAATTTTCAAAACAATTGTTCAATATTTTTAGCTTCTTTCCAGTCAAAATGGACATATTTTATTTCTATCATACTAATAGTAAATACTAAAGATGTTTTTCTTTACCTTCCTCTCTTTTGGAGTCAACGGAAGCTGAAATTGGTTTCTTGGTTTATTACTCTGTGAAGCAGTAAATCTCATTGTCAAGAATATATGAGAAAATGGAGACTTATTTTCGTATTATGAATCCTGAAAGATCGTATAAGTGTCAAATATTCAATTTGTTAAACTGTAGTTAATGCAGCGTTAGCTATCGAAAATTTGGTTTGACTTGATTCTTTTTTTCAATAAATGAACACGGATTTTAATTTTTGGAAAATTCTATGAAACGTTTGTTCTTATTCAATTTCACATTATAAAATTGTAGTTAGTGATATTTTCACTTGATACATATTCAATCGTAGATACATCGTCAGTTTAATATGTTACACGAGTACTTATTTTGAATGAAAGTAACAAAATAAGTTATCGAAAATATCTCTGTTGTTACTCCTATGTACATATATATGAAAGATAATTACGTTATCTTCCCAGATTTTGCGGTAAAATGTAAATAACATGGGATTGCAGTCAGAGGAAAATGATAAAAATATTGGAGGAAAAACGGAAGGTGTATTTTATATATTATATGTTTACTTATAACATATATTTAAAATGTCAAATTGTTACTGTATTTATATTACTTACATCGTCTTTTGATTTAAACCAGAACAACTGCTTGAATATTAACTTTTATCAAAATCTTAAGTATCACAATATTTTTATCATCTGAAAAATGTCTTACACTTTTCTAAAAATTTTAATGGAATTACGGAAAATTCCGTTTAGTATTATACTTCAAAACAAGTTACTTTATCTGTTTTAACGCAATTATAACGCATTTATCAATTATACATCAATATTTTTTAAATAAATAATCACTTATCATTTATTGGCTAGTTCTTGGGTCTCAATTTATAGTTTGCTATATTATTTTATTATTATAAATATTATTACTGACGTGTTATTATTGACTAAGAAGAAAATTTTATTATTATTTTTCTATTCATAATAACAACAACATAATGTAATCGCGTTAATTAATCGCGTATAACATGTTAATTACGCATATAATACAATCGTTTAAATTTTTAAACAATCTTATCACTAATTACGATAAATTAGAAAATAAATGCAAATTAGCAATTTAAATAACAATAGTTCTATAAAAATTAAACAATTCGCCACAATACAGATTAGAAAATACAAAAATGAAATTGAAAATACTATTTTTTATATTATATTTTTTATACATAATGTTAATTTCATAGAAAGTCTAAGGTCTAATAAATCCGTCACAACGATTTTTAATTTATATCATTGTTCTTAACGAAAGAAATTTCTCGTTGAACGAAGCGATGATTTAGAGGGATTCAATAGGTTTCATGTCTAATCTCGATCATCGGTGTACAAGCAACGAGTTCACGGTTCTACCGTCCCATTTTACGGCCTCAGTGTTAACTGGATTCTTGTAAATTCGCCTGATACAATTCGGTAAACATTTTTGTCCCAGGGCCGTGTACATCCTCGAAACCGAATTTATCCAAAAGTTGTTTGCAACGATTGTACCAGGCTGCCACATTGTCGTATCGGCCGATATCGAACCCAAAGCACTGTCAACAAGATAGATTATATTCTGTTAATAATATTTCACCTTCCAACTTTTTTATAACATCGATCGCGCGCTGTTTGCTGGGTTCGTGTTGCGTTTATGGCACAGCGTATTTCTATTTTCAGCTGCGCGATCAAAAGCTTTAAAGCGGGGAAAAGTAATGTCCTGTGAAATGATGGTAAAGATATTTTTAACAGACCAATATGAGCACAGTGAACTTATTAATTATGAAATAATCGATATTCTGTTTTAATAAAACATTATTATACTCGATAATATCATCTAATAGAAGCGAAAGTTATATTAAATATTCAAGTACGCTTTATTTTATCGGATGCTACTGCATCTACAAAATATTGTACTACAAAATATTGAAGAATTAATAATAATAAAAGATCTATTTATTGTAATTGCATATTATAGCGTAGATCTTCATCTTATTTTAAGATTTTTACGAAATCTTTAAATCAGGTAAGAAACATTAAATATGCCTGTGATTGTGAATGCGATGTAACGAAATCACAATTATAAGTCAAAAGTCCAAAAGTTCATTTATATTACGGTAAAACGAAATTATTTTTGACAAACTCAATGTAGTGTTGCTGTAATTAAGTTATTCAATTTATAATATATTTAAAGCGCGAAGTTTTAAATATTTCGAAACGACATATAAACGACTTACAGTTAGGCCACTTTCATAATCATAGGCACAAGCATTACTCGATTAAATCGATTTTGAATTGATTTAAGAAATATATAATAAAAAGTTAAATAATATCGTATAATTTAGATATTAATTATATTTAGGCATTAAATATAATATATTTTTATATTTGGATAATTATATAATTAATTATATTTAGATATTAAATGGTATTTTTCAACAATTTAGAAAAGTAAAAGAATCGTTGGAAAATTTTATTCGAAGAAATCGTTGGAAAAATTTTATTCGAAGAATTGATTCACAAAAGTGACATTATTTACATTTTAACTTGATTTAACGTCTTCAACTTTCCATCTAAAAAATCAATATATAATTAAAAATTAAGTTTTATAGACATCAATAACAAATATTTACAGAAAAATTATATTATCAAAATACTTGATAACCTGAAATAGCCAAAAATATTGTTAATTAGAATTATCGATAAGCTATAAGTTATATCTCCCTTTAAAATTGGTATAATCTCAAAATAATCCACTTTCTCTTAGTAGCTTAACGAGGCTGGAGGTAAAGATCGATATATCGTTGAACGATCAAAGCTTGCATTATGAAGTGTGCTGATACGGGTTTCTGTGATGTTTGTACAAGGAAGAGACTAAATCAGTTTTATAGGATTTTATATATAAATATTTTATAGATATATGTATAATAGCAGAATATTACGATCCTTTATAAAGTTTTCTTGTACATTGATGTAGATAAAATGATTTATTTTATATTTGAATATATTTGTTGCCTTTTACTTTTCATTCACATATTTTCTCATATTACGCATCTAATTTATACAAAAACGTTGTTCATTATGATTAATGAGAAGTTTATTTTAAATTATATTCAAATTTCTCCTTATTTAAATTTCTAATCAATTTATTTCCTTTATCTGCAGCCTCTTATTTCTAAGCAATACAGATACCCATTTCACTCGTATTTAAAATACACGAATACACGTGCAATTAATATATTCGTGTTGTTGCCGTGTAATTAGTAAATTCGTGCTGATATCCGAGTATTATTTAATACGCGAATAAACGGGTAAACTAGTCTTAATTAGTTATTATCAAAAGATAATTTCAGTTCATAATACAAACATTACATACGTCGATATAAACACGAGGTGAAGATCTTACAATTTTAATATCAAGCCTTATATCGCTACATGTGCATCTGTGTTCGGTGTATTAGGAAATGCATGGATTACATTAGTTACATGAGGCACGTACGCACGTGTAACTTGTCTCCTCAAAATACATTTGAAACCGTGATTTTTACCAAACAAGCCTTTCATCATTTGTAATTTTTAGTATTGATTTAATAGTAAATAGTTTAATTTTTGTGAGTTCCTTAACATTCAATACTGTTTTTGTCTTGTTTATTTTTATCACTTGTTTTTTCTTTTGTTAGGTTTATTCGGCATTTTGTTTGGACAAGTTACAACCTCTTTATAGGTTAATAATGTATTGTCATTAAACTGTCGTGAGAGTGCCTTTCTTTATAATTTTTTTAAAAGAGCTGTTGTCTTGTTATGTTGGATTCTCTTATGTAAAGGTATTTTGACATTAATCTCCTTGTATGTAACAGTTTATTTTGGTTCAATACTCTATATATGTTCTATACATATACCTGTTTATGGTACTATATATTGTAGTATTATTTTATAGTTTATACTTGAATAAATGCTACAATGTTTATGCATTTCTAGTTTCTTTAAAGGTTTGAAAATTTTATTCGATAGTTTTTTTCAAAAACATTGATGTAGGTATTTGTAAGTTGAAACTAAATGTTATCGCTAATGTTATAATTAAACTTCTTAATTTGCAATTTATTTGTGAGGTATAAGGAATAATATAGTCCATGTAAATTCTTTTCAATTTTTATCCTTCCCATATCATATGATCCACATATATCATTTTATTATCATATTTTTTTTCTTTTCAATCAGTTAATGTTTTTAATAGTCAACCATGTTATATATTTCTATAATTTTTCTCATAGATTTGACCTATTTCATATATTTCCTTTTTTATGGTCATTATTTCATGGATTAATTTCAGAATTCTTTTCATTTCATTAAATTGCACTTGTTCCAATTATCTATACCATAACATAGTATCATCATTTTGTTCCTTTCTATGTAAGTATAATTTAAGTTTTGCCGTAATTTATAAATTCGTTTCATAGTTTATTACTATTTAGTTTTGGATTAGACAATGCAATTTGGTTGTTATGATTTACTATTACTTTAATTATTGAGAATATAACTTCTGTGTTATTTGTGATTTAATTGTGTGATAATAAATTTGTATTTAATTCAATAGTTAATATTACTTTATTTATTCATACTTTAAAAGTCATATTGTCTATTTCTCTTGCTTTCACTAGTTTATTTTATTTTCTAATTATATCCATTTAAATCTTTTTTGTAATGTTCAAATTTGTACAGTTCAGTATATATAATAATATTAGATCTGAATTGATGATCCAAGTTTCTGTTGTGCATATTGTATTTATTGAGATCTATTCTACTAATTGACTTATATTTACTTTCTTTTTTGTAGAAAAGAACAATCCTTTTTAATGTAACTTTTTATTTCTTTTTTACATATTGTATAATATGGATTCACGTCTAGTTTTCTAAAACTATTTATATATATGTAGTTTAAGCATTATTTGTCATTTATATTTGATTTTGTTTTACATTAGTGTGCTACATTGATAATATCCAATTCCATTCCACTTATGATCATTCTTTTACTGCAGCTTTAAATGTCATTAGATTCTGTTTCTTTTCATCGAATCTTGATTTTTCATCATTTTATCAGTCAATTTTCTCAATTTATTTGTTAAGTTTGTTAATTTATTTATTTGCAGTTATATGTAAGCATATGAATTCTTTCTTATGCACAGGGTGGGGCAATAATTTTGATTATCTTGAATATCTCTGTTATTTCTTGAAATACAAAAAAGCTTTGTTAATAAAAGTTGCATAGTTTAAAGAGGGCCATAATGTGAAAGCAATAACTTTTCTTTTTACAGGTAGAAGAATTTTAAAGATTTTAAGGATATTTTTATTTTTTGTATTTGTAGTGGATTTAATAATTTTGATAAATTGCTGTCAATTAAATCCATATTTCAATATCTGTTTTAAAAACTGCAACAGCAGTTCCATTCTAACTACAATTTAAAGTAATAATAATTTTTTGATTGATTTTGGTTTTTTCCTTTTTATATGTCTGCTGTATTTTCAATTTCATAGAGATTCTTAAGTTTTAACAAAATATTCAACCTACAGTTTACATTAGTTAGGTATGTACTATAGTACTAGAGTACTAGAGTTCAGAAGGTGACCTGTAGAAAAAATACTAGACGACTTAGTTGTACCCTGAATGGTCTGGCTTTTGTTAATATAATCATAAACGACAGAGTAAGAACATCTATTTTGCTCTTTGGTTGAAGTGACAACATGCATTAAGGTTAGCGCGTCTATGAGATATGCGGAGAAAATTAGACAATCCGATCGAGTTAATCCTCTTGTTCTTATGTGGTTCCGCGAATTATCTTTAAATCTCCACATAATTGTTTCTATCATTAGAAAATTTCCCAATGTGTCTAGTGTCTATTATTGTATCATTTATTATTTCTTACAAATTTATGAATTTCTCCCTCAAATTTTTAGTTCGTTCTGTGAATAACGAGTTTTATTTGGTTCAATATTTATTACTTCTCTCACATTGATTTTAGTAAGCAGGTCAGACACTATAATTTATTAAATTTAGTTAAGAACTTATTTTTCAGGTGAAGACAAAATCAATATTATACTGTCTTATATATAAAGATTGTTTGGATAGATGAAATACCTAGAATTGCAATCCTTAGAATTTTTCTGCACACCATTAGAGGCTAAATTTCGTATTTGAGCATATTCTTTGATTTTATATTTTTTACTTTAACGCACATACTGTGTTCGTACACATGTTTCTTTTTTTTATTTCATATTTACATTAATCCTACTTTTCTCTCGTGATAATCATATATTCTAGATAGAAATTTTGCAATTTTTATAAACAGCACTTTATTGCTACCTCTTATTTTTAATTTTAATATCATGAAATTAACACTAAAGGATTGATTTGGTTTCGAAGAGTATTTTTCGATCCTTGAAACGTCGAAATTCTTCTACCCCGTTTTAATATTATATTTAATAAGTCGTTGGATAAAACACCGAATATAACTTTTATTTTCATTTAAGTCTCTTTCCTTAGTTTATGGAATTTTTTATATCTACTAAAAATAATGGAGGAAGTGTTTTATTCTCAGAGAGTATCAATCATTTAGGTATTTATTTTATCATATTTCGATGTTGTAGATCAAGTGCTGTGCTGCTTTGCACAATTCTTTTATCAGAAGGTATTTTTATTTTCCTTTTTGTATGGTTACATCCCCTAGAAATAATGTTTACGTCTCTAACGTTTCTTATTTTATTTTTTAAACAATTAGTTTTATGCAATTTGATAGCTAGTTTGGATTATAAGTTATCCTTGGATAGCCTAAGTCTCTTCTATAAACGATACGAAAATACAATAGTATCGGTCTAATTATCTTTTGTAATACAATACTTTACATAACATAATTTATAAATCTTGATTTGTACTTTAAACAAGCGTAATTATAATATGGGTTTGAAAATCAGGCGAACTATTGATAAGATAGCTGAATTTTTATATGGAAGTTCAATATTAACGAGTCAATTTTTTCGATATCATCCAATTATCTTTTCAAATCGATTAATAGTAATTGTTTGGCAATATGAAAAATTTTTACAAAATAAAAATACATATATATTTATTTATATATATTTATTATGTATATATAGTTTTATATATATACATATTAATTATTATATATATTATATATATACTTGTTTATGGAAATAATATGCTCTTACATATGACTTTCAAAGAATATGTAAAATATGCAAAGTAAAATTGCACGAGTAAAACATTTACAAGACAGAATAAATTTTTGTTCTTTCTACTTTATTACTAATTTTTTAGAGAAATATATATTTGTATAAATATTCAGAGTTTATTAATGAAAAATAATAACAAAATTAAAATATGAATTTATATCTTCGATTATCTTTTAATTTAAACTCAAGTATTAAATTTACATTTGAAATTTATTTTCTTTATTAATAAAACCAATATCGTCATTTTTGTTTATCTGGAAGACGTTTTCCTTAATTCATATATGTATATATGTATATCTCCGAGCATTACGAGCAATTCTTATCGTAGAAATGAAATTGACTTCTATCCTTCTACAAAGTATATCACACTTTTATCGTACAATGGTATTCAATAAAATCAATATTTATGGAGTCTGCAAGTAATTTTTGTTACGCGAATATCCCCATATATATTTCTCCAATTTTTATCTACCTGGAATCGGTTTGATATATTGTTGAACCATTAACATTTTTCACTGTCATGCATACTATATTTCCTTATTCGTCTTATACATCACACGTATCTGTTGATAAATAAGTAATAGACGTTCTTTTATTTTTTGAAACGTTAAATACAGTTTTATATCCTGAATTGTATTAAAGAAATGAGCTAAAGTACATAAGTAAATTCCTTATTTTATATTTTAAATACAAGAAACAAAAGTTGGAAATTCTCAACATAAAGGTAAAATGTTGCAAGAGTTTGTTTTTTTACAAAATCATATGTTCACTTTCAAAATACTTACTAGTAAAACGCAAATGGTTGTATGGATGGCAAAATCAGCAATGGTAAGTACATCACCAGCGACGAATTCGCGATCTTCCAGGTAGGTGTTTAGCAAATCGCATGATTTCTCCACAGCTTGTAAGCTTTCTTCGTTTATGGAATGTATTCCGGCAAATAATACTGGATACTAATATGTAAACGATAAATAATTGTTAATTATCTATTATAATATAATTCACAAACTAATGCGTATTTTTCATAAAAATTTTGATTTGCTATTCTATATATTCTATAATTATTGCTATAATTATAGAATAAGTATATTTATTGTATTATCATTTAGAAGTTTATGAAATTGTTTACTTTTCAATGAATTTTTATTTTTCAAATCAGTAATTCTATAAAATAGTAAACATTTTCTTCGTTAATTTTCTAGCAATTTTGTTTTCCATGTTTGAAAATATTACAACGAAATTAAAACTTATGCTTATCAGACGAATGTAATCTAAAGTTGGATTAAAAAATATATTTAATTAGCTTTTTTTTAACGTTGTTACTGCACAACATTTAGTAGTAATCGTATATAATAATTTAGTTAACAGACCATCCATTTTTTATGATTATTTGGTAAAGAGAACTTTAAGTTTATTTATTCTAGTATTAATTTTTATACACTTATTACGTAAAAATATAATATACTTTTTAATATATACAAATATCACGAAATAAGGCTTTTATTTGCATTATTGGACATAAAAATGGGATGTAAATTAGATTTTGCTTCCATGTCAGTTGTCGTCAACATATTGTAAAATGTTCATTGTTTATATTGCATTATGTTCAACATTTGTTAAAAAGCTAATGCATTTCGTACTGCTCTGATTTCGCGCTATGTGAATCATCGATCGTTCATATTGGTAAATATATTGTATTATAATATATCATGCAGTATCATTTATAATGACTCTGATACAGCACATGTAATAATTAAAAAGTATAGAAGAAAAGTATGAAAATTTCAAAAAGGAAACGAGAAAAAGAATGAATACTTTAATTGTAAAATCTAGTACAGTAAGGTTCATTAAAAGAATTATCAAGAAATGTTATTTTTATTAATATGTCGCACTTTCAATTAAAAAGTGACTCAATTTTTCAGGAGAAATGAAAAACTATTTCTGAATACAATTAAATATTATTTTGTTTCCGTTTTACTTATGTGGAACAAAGAAACGTGATTAGAAATGGTACATTTTTAACTTGAAACATATATGTCTTCACATTAACAATCCGGATACAACTAATAATACGATGCTATTGTCGAATAAAGTATAAGTAATTACCTGCTAGTGATATAACTATGAAATGAGATTTTCATGACTAAGCAAAGAACGTTTCTACAACATTTTCATAATAATTATTGAAGAATTGTGATTTCTAAGTTGTGTCCTTTTTTAGCGATAATGCGATATACAGAGTGAGTCATTTAACATTTTTACGAAAATTTACTTGTAAGCTGTATGCTGTGTAAAAAATTTCTGAAATAAAAGTTGTACGCTATAAAGAAACTCATACGGTGCAGTAATTAATTTTTTGCTGTTATACTTTTTTATCAAAATATAAAGATAAATTGAGTATAATGGACAACGTTTCCAACATTTCTTGCATTAAAAATTAAATAAATTTTGGTGATTACCTCAAATGTGACTTCATATACCTTAATAATTTTTTACTCTGCATTCACTATTCTTTCGAACAGTATAGTCAAATGTAATATGTACAATGCGGTTAGAAAACACAAGATGACCTTTGCATTTTGATAAAAAAGTGAAAATGCAAGAAAGTGTTCATTGCATCGCATGCATTTCTTTATATCAAACATCTTTCGTTCCAGAAATGTTTTTATACATCATATAGTTTGCAAATAAATTTAAGCGGAGAGTTAAATAACTCACCCTCTATATGTATGTATATTTTTATAAAAATAGTTTCTAACAATTGAAAATCCAAATTTCAGAATTTTTGAAAATTGTACTTTAAAATTATCGTTTCAGTATTTACCTCTTACACTGTACTATTAGCACAAAATTTATCAAACTAGTCACAATGGCTATTTGATTTGAAATTTCTTATTTTTGCAATTATGAATACATCCAGTTGCTTTAAGAAAATTAATGTTGTCCTTTAGTGGGATAAAAATACAATTATTAAATAATAAAAATACAATAATTAGAGCATTTAAAACGTGGCAAACGTAGGAAAACTTGAAAAGCTTGTATTACTCGAGAGAAGTAAAAAGTATGTAATCAACATGGATTCCAAATCAATTCTTTCAGTATAAAATCGACTTTTATACTTTATGTAAATAAAAAAAATTAGTTCGAGGTCGTCGTCGAAATTGTGAATCGACAATATCGATAAAAGATTAGTTTCTTTCTTTTATCTTAGTTTCTTTTTTACAATAAATATATAATAAATATTCAATATATTTCCTTTCTGTTGTAATTTTTATTCATTGCCGTAGTTCTACCATTATTTATAGGTACCGAACAGATTAAGGTTTTTAAATCATCTCGAAAAAAGAAATTCAAATCAAAAACTATGCCAACCTAGAACTAATATATTTCTAAACGAATTCCTATATTTTTACCTTTAGTATGTTGTGAAGAAATTTACTCGCGTTATGGAATATTTATAAATATTGAGTTTCTAAAGTCGGTTTTATGTCGAAAGCATTGAGTATATGACCTATGCTAATTAAATATTCTTTACTCTTCGTGGTACGTATTATAATCCCTTCGTGTCTTGGATGCTGTTTCTTAAACACTCTGTGTATAAATATTTATTTTCATCATACAACTTCAATTACTAATTTATGTAAATATTATATTTGAGTACACATTAAAGATCGATGCTAGTGTTAACGATGAGAATGAATATGTTCTATTTTTTCAAGGTGCTTTTTTATATATAATAAAAGTATCATCAGTATACGTACATAGCATTTCATCATATTCTCAAAAAGCGAGCCAACATCAAAATACAGCATTTGATTCACGATACCTCTTTTCTTCGGATCCTTTGGATACAAGGAGTCGTTTTTAGCATATTTGCTTACTAAGTATCCCATGATTGGTCGGCTGTAAACACGTAACTGTGATAATGGCAAGATGAAAAGCATACTTTACGTAATTCAGAGACGTAATCATCGCATACCTTTCGCATAAAACGAATCCATCGTCGTCCATCGTTGGTATTACGTGCTGTGGATTTAACTGAAAGACACGATTAAGTAGTATTTGACAAAGTTATAGATATATTGCAGATCTTTATTTCATTAAAAGCATGTTAAAGGGTTATCGTTTGATTAAAATGCTGTTTCCATTAAGGTAATGTTAGATAACTTTTTAATTCAATAAATCAGGCTTACTCTTATTGGTACTTTTAATTAATCTCGATTCGGTAACGTGCATTACTGTCGTTGAAAGTGACATTATAATTACGGTATGATACCAATAATATCTTCACTGTGCAATTAAATTATGTATGTTGTTAATAAAGTTTTTATAATTTTCTTATATCTTTTTCTTTTTTGTTTATAAAATTTAATTGAGAATTGTTTATAATCTTTTTCATGAAATAAAATAGAATTTGAATAATCTTCATTTTTATTTCTCGTATATGGAACGTTTAAGCTGTATTTCAGTTAAACATAATTGGAACATTCAGACCATTCTTCGAATTACAAAGAAAGTAGTAATCAGTTGTGGGTGGTAATGGTTACATAGATTTTTAAATATATATATGTGTTGGGATGAGTGGAACAAGTATGCATGGGATGGAAATATCTAATGAATTCAGCTTATTATGATAAATGGATATGCGTGTTATGATTGAGGTGTTGTGTGAATTGGGTATGTAATATAATGTATAAAAAAAAGAAAAGAAAAAGAGAGAGTGATTTGGCATACGTCAGTTGCAATTGAGTTTTAATAGTGAGAAGATGCGTGAGCATGTGATTGTGATAAATTAATTATATTTCAACTCAATATTTGTGTTTGATAATCTTTGTAATTAAATAAATAATTGTTCTTATTGTTATTAAATTTCATTCACCACTAACATCAGTAACAGTTAGTAACATAAAGTAATAGTGATCTTATCTCAGGCTATTGTTATATTTTCTATATTGTTAACATTTACAAAATTTCCCACGAATTTCTTGGAAAGAAAACTGTTTCCAAATAATACCATCGAAAATCGTAACAGTCTTTGTAAAACGTTTTAAATTTGTTTACTTCTGTTATCTTCGTATCAGATATAAATTTTATTCACATTTAAGTATATTTCCTACATATTTACACGGTATAATATAAAATAAACGAAAACTTTTATCTTTTTGACAGTTCCAGTTTCATACTTTTTGTAAAGGTTCTTTTTCAATTAAACTGTATTTTTAAATCAAAACGGAACAAACCTTCAGAAACTCGGGCTTCAGTTGTTCTCCCTTTAGAGGGTTGACCGTTTTCAAATTTAAATGGACGCCGATCGCTTTTGCCAGCAGCATAACTGACCGGCATGGTGGGCTATACACCAAGTAGTAAAAATCAATCGGCATCTCTTCGTGCTGCCTTTATCTTCTAGTCGTGTCACTTCCTTGCTCTCTGCTCCCGTACCGTCACTGTGTAAACGAGATTTTTATACAGTGGACTCGGAATAGAGAAAATCTTTCGAATCTCTAGGCTTTGCATCCGCATGTACCTTGGCTTGCATACAAATTTGCCCGGCCACGGTGTTTCGGATCCTATGGATTGGAAGGTTATTGACCAGATTGCAGGGATTTTTATGGAAATCTTTTCCGAAGCGCATGGTTCCTTAGACTTATGTAGCTCAAACGTGCAAACGAGCGATCCGCAGTTGTACAAATCGCGCTTCGACACGGTGGATATAACGTTACTATCTTTCTATCAGGTCCCGTTACGAATTTTATGGAAACGTGATGTAAGATATTTGTTTTCCTTTTACTTATTAGATTGAGAGTTAGTCATCGTGTTATCCTACATAAAGCGATGTCTATATTGTAAACTTTATACTACGTAATATTGTAGGATACCAAAAGAAATTGCGAATCAGCTATTGCCAACAAAAACAAATTGTAAACCGATCGATATCTTCTACAAGCAAATTGAAAAGTTATTCTATATAACAAAATTAAGTTGCGTGACTCCCCTACGGGTATGTGAAGCGTAGATTAAGGAAAGCATAAAAGCGTGGTCCTTGACAATCAAAACAGAGTCCTTAGAAATCGGTTGTGACCAGCACGAGCGTGAGTCGCTTGGTGTTAGAAAGAGAGTTTTAAAAGAGTGCATCTTTGTGTGTTTTCGTTATCTTGGTGTTCTTTCCCTAAGTTAAATCAGTTTACTAGTTTTGAGTTTGTGTTATCGTGTTCTTGTTCTTTCGTGAATTTTCGGTGTCTCAAGACCAGTTTCGCCATCCTACAATATATTATGTCATTCGCTTTATTTTATGAAAAGTTCAGATATTGAAATAATCTGTTATTCCCATTTATGTATACCGTTTACTTATTGAAGGATCGTAATGTATTAATTATTTAGAAAAGCTCATGATAAATACACTATTTAAAATATTTTTCTTAGTAACTAATTTAGTATGTTAGTTACTAAATTTAACTAGTAAACAAAATTGCAAAAGATATCTTACGTGTTTGACAGAACAAAATCATTACGACAGAATATGTATCCAGTTATGAATTAAAATATAAAAGAGAGGAAGTTATTAGAGAATCTGAAAGAAAGGAGACAAAATTCAAACTAGAGTTTATATTTTGAAAAGACGAAATTTTCTAAATCATAAAGGAGTAAGTTCAAGTTATTTGGTTTGGTTTAGGATAGAATTCTACACTTTGCAAGAAGTAGTGGTTTTTATAAACAAAGATAATGGAAAATGTAGGAAAAAGAAATGATTCGACACGTGGTTTTATTTTCAAAGTTTGGAAAAATGAGAATTAATTTCTGCATTTGTATATAAATAAATTTTTACTACGTCAAACATTTTACCTATGAACAGGTAGAATTTGATTCGACGCACGTATACCCCAAGAATTTGTAAATTCAATTTTCGTTGAAAACGAAGTCACGTATTAAAAGGTACATTCTATTATACATTTTCCTTTTTCCTTCTGTTTTCTGCTTTTTCGATTTTGCTTACAAAATCAAGTCTCATTTTCTCTTTCCTTGATATATAGATTATACTTATCTATTTTCTATTTTAATGTTTTCATTCCAGCATAATTTGAATTAAACTCAGTATTTTATATTAATTATAAGCTTAATAAATACTCTGCTAGAATTTTCATTTTAAGAAACAAATTCATATTCTTTAAATTTTATGGATGTCTTTTGTTATTTTATAATATTTATTTATACGTTTATCAATTTTATAATTATTGCGATTTTCGTACAAAAACATAATTAAATCGGTGAAGTATTATAAGCTTCATTTAAATTATACTTAGTTTAATTTTCATTAATTATTAATTCAATTAGTCATTTATATCGGTAGCAATTATTGCCAAGGAATTAATTGGGACCGTTGTACATAATATATAAAATATATCATTTAAATTATTATAATAATTATAGATATAACGAGTAGAAAGTTATTGGTACACTATATTACAAGAAAATTTACTCACTTAAAAAATTCTAATTTCAATGAAAATTTGTGTGCATGTAGGACACAATGCGTTATAGACGAAGCAATTTTTTCATGGACAGGAAATATCTTCAAGGGAATAAAATTAAATTCCATAATTTAAGCGTTCCTTTTTTTTTGTTTCATTGATTGAGCATTTAAATATACGGACTTTTTTATATGAAAAGTTATGCTGTATCCTACAAAGTTACTTTAAAAAAACCAAAAGAGCACTGAAAAATTTTATTTAATTTCACTTAGCTATTTAATTTCACTTATTAGATTAATATTATTAGTAATATTCCGCCATATACGTACATATGTGTGTAATTTATTATGCTGTATATGTTCACAGAGCCTCATCTTAAATAAAGTATTAAGAAAAAATAATTAAATACTAAATTTTTTTAATTATAAAAGCGATAAATTAATGGAAAGTGAAAAATATCGAAAATAGCAAACAATAGGTATACATTAAGCTTCTCAATATTGCGTTAATATGAAACATTAGATATAATATCCTATGAACGAAACCGTACTTGAAACGTTTTAATAAACAATCTTCGATGACAGTCCTCCAAATGTGGATTTTACGTTCTATCTTTTATTTTCACATTTCAATCGCGTTGACGCTGTACCATTATGAATTTGCATGAATCGGGATACAAACTCTCCGATTACGCGAGGCAACTGGAGAACCGCGAGAATTACAAATTAGAAAACTTACACCGAAACCTTAATAAACGCAGTGCACAAGAACCGAGAGAATAGAAGAAAAGAGAAAAGAAAATTGCAACGAAATACTTCGAGTGAAATTTATCGAGAAAGCACTTGCTTCCACGATAATATAACGCGGCTCTCGTCGAGCACAAAGATAATTAATTAATTAATTAGCGTTTCGTGGAAGGTAACGAACCTTTTTCCTTCAATTGCCTCTTCCTCCGACCGGTCCGTGGGTTTCAAACTATTCTCGAGTAACACACCCTCTTTGCACCCTTACGTTCAATCACGGCGATTCGATCGAATCCGCGAGTACGCTCACGCGTGTCAACGATTTTCTAATCGATTAGTCGATCGACTAGCTGCAAGATAACAGCGCTCCACGGGCTCGAGTCGATTAGCGAGCTTCACCACAGGAAATCGTATGTTTCGCGAGCGAATACGTTCAGTCCTGGACAAAGCAAATACGCAGTGTCGAATGGTACATCAAGTTGCCATAGCGATGTTGTAATACCAAACATAAGCGTCGAAGTGTAACAACGACATTGTAGGACACGTTCGAAGGTTGAATCGGTACGATCGATATGAAAGCGAGCTTAGGGTGGTCGCGGCTCAACTGGAAAGTAATCGCCTTGATTATTATTGCTTGGTGCAAGTATTCTACGGATACCAGTATGGCTGCGATTTACGATGGACGCCTTTTCAGACCAATCAACGATTTCACGAATACCTCGAGATAATTGAATAAATAAACGCTTATGAGAATAGTTACATATGTCGTACAGTACGTGACAGAATAACACGCTCTATGATTTTTAGTGCTTTTCGAGTAACTTCAGAGCGGTATATTTTGGAAAAAAGAAAGTCTCATTGCGAATCAAATTTAATTTTATAGGAGAAGTTAGTAGTAATGAAAGCAGTTGATAAGAATATTGGAAAGAACTATATCTAGAATATTTTCGTAAAAATAGTAGAAATCGATATTTTTTAGTTATTTAAATATTTGAGCCGTTTATTTTGAAAGTGGCCTAAGTCCATTTATACTTAAATTGAGATATCTAAGGGTTTGTGTTTCAATGCAATTAAAAATATACGTACAGCATACTAATGAGTCATACTGCTTAAGTGTATCTAAAGGAGTTCAAATTTATAGTTCCTATTAAAATAATGACAATTATTAAGTGAATAATATGCGTTTTCTTACCAAGAATGGAGTTAGGACACTCAAAATTAACAACCAGATTCCTTATAAAATTTGAAGGAGCTCAAGTCCATTCAACATAATTTAAGATGCTTCAAATTGAGAAAAAACAATACTCAATTTATTTTATATATCTTTACAACACTTCAGAAACATAATTTATGCGATTCAAAACATTTTTTAACTACATAAATTACAAAACAATTTACTGCTCATCTACATTTTGCGTGTGTGAAAGGGATTTGAAGAAATCATGATGTTCCGGCCGAACAAAAGTTTTGTTCTTCCCCATGGGTGAAATAATTTCTAAAATTTAATATTAAATTTTAAGTTTTATATTTAATTGTAAATATTTATATTGTGTAAAGTTTTTATAACTGCATTAATTAAACGTACTGATTATTCAACTAAAGCAATTGTCCAAAAACTGAGGTTAACTTGTTAAATACTAATTAATTAAAATTACATTCGTCACTGCCTTCGGACATTATCAATAATAAATATCTCAATTTAAGTATAAATGGACTTAGACCACTTTTAGAATAAACGGCTCAATTATTGAACTAACTCTGAAAACTTGTGTCCAAAATTATCGTATTTATTCGGAATATAAGTAACCTCAAATGCTTTATTGATAGATAACTTGAAGTTGTACATGTAACCACGAGGCAACCGGAAATAATTAACAAATGGATTTAGGTCACTTTCAAAATAAACGGTTCATTTCATAAATCTAATATAAACAGTTTGTGCTTCCAGATTCGGGTTAATCACATGAAAATATATAAGAAGTTTCTTATATAAGAACTTGCAAAAAATAAAACCTCGTTCATCTATTTCTTTGATACCTGTGTTATCACCTTGGCGCAGCCATTTTTCACATAAACAAGTAAAATTTGTAAATAGCAATGTAAACTGTAGTTGATATTTGTTTGTATTATTCAGGACCGGATACATTATACGAGTACATTATATGCATACGT